GAATAATCGGCAATTTGGGTCTTCCTATCATTATTTATATAATTAATAGCTGTATCCGCGTTAGTCGTATCGCTATTTCCACCAAAGCACGAGTAGTAATGCAAATCCATGGCCACCTTGGTATAACTCTGGTTAGGGTTCATAAACCCTGTCCAATATGATTCGGTTCCCGACTCGAATGGACTGATCAACGGATTTATGACAATATGAGAGTCAGCCGAATGTTTACGTACGGCAGCATAGGCTCGGTTATAGTAATCTTGCAACTTTGTAATATTGATATGTGCTGGCTCATTAAGTAAGTAAAACCCAAACAGAGCTGGCTTACTTCCGTATCGTTTAGCGTATAATTCCATTGAATCTACAGTTTGACCAATGTTTGAATCAGACTTATCCCAGTTTATCTAGAAACATTAAAAATTTTAAAAATAATTTAATCCAATTTGTTTCAAAACAAAGATTATCATTACACAAAGATAATCGTGATTATAATATACTTACTTGACCGGGATATTGAGTGGGCGATGAATGGTCTTGGCCATTTTGAGATCCAGGTGCTGCGTGCATTCCCAATAGGATACCGATGCCATACTTCTGGCCCCAATCAAACACTTTATCAATGTATGCCAGACCACCGGTTATATAATCAGTAGGGGTAACGTTCCAGTTTAGTTTAGCTTTACTAGCACCACCATCAAGGTCATAAATCTATACAGGATAATAAAATTAAAATTAAATATTCTAAACAAAAATAATACAAATCGTGTTAGTAATAGAATATTAATATTAAGTTTTATAAATTAAACTTACCTGCCACCAACCAGTAGGTACGCGTACAACATTAACACCGTGCTTTGACATTTGAGCAAAGTCATTTTCGGTAATAAACGTTGACCAATGTTTTTGCATAACCTTTGAAGCATTACTACCCAGGCACTTTTCAAACAGATAAGTACTGCTTTGAGTGGTTTTATTGCAACCATTTTGGATCCAGAAGTCCGGTTCCATCCATGACTCTAATATTAGCCAATTGCCCAAATTGGATCCACGTACTTTGGTTTTACCTGATTTTACATCATTTAATCTGTTAATTTGGCATTGATTTTGCCCGGTTATTTCATAACATAGTACGAATAAACAAGTAACTTTTATTATTAGTGATATCATACTGTGTTTAGTTTTTAAAATGATTAAAATTTTATTGTTTATGCTTTATATAAGAATCTTATAATTGTGGTAGCACATGTTGCAATTAAATCGTTTAGTAAAAATATTTTATATTTATAAGATTAATGTGGTCTTGATAGTTTACGTAACTTAATAAACAACGCAAATAATGTGCAGGTGATTTACACGTTATAATCGTAATTTATATAAAATTAATAGTTATATGATTTATTGCGGTATATAAAATACATAAGTGTTAATGTAAAAGGGTGATTAAATTTTCCATGGGTTAAAACTAAAAAAAATCATTTAAGTATTTTGAAATTAATTTATTGTTTCTAAAACTGGTAGATTGTGAAAATTAATACTAAATAATTATTACAAAACTAAACCCTCAATGACAATAAATTAATTTTATAAATATAATAATATATCTATCATGCAAAATATGTCACAATATTTTACAACTGGTTTGACGTCATTTTAGTCGCAAAGTACTAATATTTTAGGTCTTATTTATATTAAATGTTTATTTAATTGTTGAAGTTAAAAGCATACTACAAGTGAATGATCATTTTTAAGTACAAAAAATAACCTGTAAAATAAATATTATATATTTGAAATTTTAAATCTATTGAATATGATGTTGAAATTAATTAAATATTTGCGAAAATTTTTAGTTTAAATAATTTTTTAAAGACAATGTAGAATTAATTTTAAATATTTATTTTATTATTAAAACTTTTATAAAAATATGTCAATATGTACACTTAATGCTGCACTCTTATATGTACCATGACAAATATAATTTATAAAATCTATAACTAAACTTAACAAGGATATTGATTTGCCATCCAGCCTGAATTAAACGCAGTTTCTAGAGACCAAAAATTACCAGGTTTACCATTGGTCCAGGACCAAAATGTCCAGCCTAACGTAGCTGTATTATACACATTAACCTGAGCCTTTATAAAATCACCAGTACGAGATGCATTAAAATGATTGCACCCTGACCATTCACCAATCAACATTTGTTTAGGATTTTTAGCAGAATAATCGGCAATTTGGGTCTTCCTATCATTATTTATATAATTAATAGCTGTATCCGCGTTAGTCGTATCGCTATTTCCACCAAAGCACGAGTAGTAATGCAAATCCATGGCCACCTTGGTATAACCCTGGTTAGGGTTCATAAACCCTGTCCAATAGGATTCAGTTCCCGACTCGAAAGGACTAATTAATGGATTGATGACTATATAGCTGTTTGGGGAGTATTTGCGAACTGCGGTATATGCTTGCTGATAATAATTTTGCAACTTTGAAATATTAACATTTGCTGGTTCATTTAGCAAATAGA